CCCTTCACACTCCCATGTACTTTTTCCTCAGGCAATTGGCCTTCATGGACATGGGTCCAAGCCTAATTGTTATCCCCAAAATGTCAATGGATTTTCTGATCCTGGGCAACACTATTTCTCTGGCACTTTGTGGGACTCAGATTTTCCTGCTGCTAATGATGGGTGGAGCAGAGGGTCTCCTTCTGGCTGTCATGTCTTATGACAGATATGTTGCAATTTGCAATCCTTTTCAATACCCCATTCTCATGAACAGGAAAATGTGCATGAGCCTGGCAGCTGCTGTCTGGGTTTGTGCAACAGCGAACGCCTCAATCCATACAGCTTATACTATGCATCTGCCCTACTGTGGTTCAAAAGACATTGATCACTTCTTCTGTGAGGTCCCCGCCCTGCTGAAACTGTCCTGCTCTGACACCTCCATATACGAGACCCTGGTGTTCATGAGTAGCATTGTCCTGCTCCTCATCCCTTTTTCCATCATACTAGCCTCTTACACTTGTATCCTCTCTACAGTCCTGAGGATGAAGTCAGCCAGAGGACAGCAGAAAGCCCTGGCCACTTGTTCCTCACATCTGACTATGGTGGGGCTGTACTATGGGGCAACTATCTTCATGTACATCAGACCCAACACTTGCCACTCTCCAGAGCAAGACAAGATGGTTGCTGTGTTTTACACTGTTGTCACCCCAGTTCTGAATCCCGTCATATACAGCCTGAGAAACAGGGATGTCCTACGAGCCTTACTAAAGCTGGCTGGAAAATGCAGAGTCCTCCACCACAACTGATGTGAGGTCTACTTGCCTGATCTGTGCTAGGACTGAACGAAGCCCAGAAGGGCACTGATGGGGTTTTCTAGAATCAAGGGCATTTTGCCTCCTTTACCATTGAATCACTTCAGAAAAGGTGTCAAGAAGCTTCTTCCTGTCTCATCCCCTCCCCCTCTGCCACACACACTTTATATTATGGGAGATTGAACATGATTCTTGAATGTAGCTAGCACCTCAAGTGGGATTGACATCCTGTATAGCCATAATCGTGGAGGAAATAGGTCATGTGTTTAGATTTGGACATTTCAAACGCCCACTTGTCAAAGCAGGACTTTTGTATTGACTCTCCTTCCACCTGTATCAGTTTTATACCCATTATATTCCACTGAATTCAGCAGTGGAGCCCTTGGTGTTAAAGGAGAAAAAAAAAAAGCTCTGATTAAATCCTTGTCTTCTATCTTTAGCAGCCCCAAACATGAAAAAAGTGGAAGTGGCTGCTAACCAACTAGGTCAAAAAAATTTGCATAAAATATATTAATTTGGTTTATGTATTACATCATGGAAAAAGGTAGGAGGGAGGAACAGGAAGCTGCCAAGCTGTATATCTTGGAAATATGCAACAAAAACTGAAAAGGTGACTGTTCTCAACATCACCTCAACAAAATGCACAGATCCATGGGATGGATTCATGTGTTTGGGAGGAAATTCCTATCAGTTTTGATTTCTAAAGCCTTCCATTGCTGTGAGCACTGTATTATTAGCTCAAGATGCGTGTCTTGTTCCCCCTGCTCACCTCCCAAGCTGAGCCTGTGCCCAAGGACCACAAGGTCCTTGGGCAAAGTGGCTGATGAGCCTGTTGATAGTAGGACTAGTTCTGAAATTTCCCAGAAGGGGGAAACAGATATGGGGTTTGGGGAGAAAAACGGCCCCCATTTCACACCAGGGAAAGGAGATCGTTGAACAGTATGATCATTCCCGTGGCACTCAGGGCTCTGTTGGCTCAAATGGCCCAAGCAGCCCCCCTGGGGGCCAGAGCAGCCCTAGAACAGGTCTGTGCATTGCAGACTTGTGTAGTAAATTGTGTGATGAAGCTATCAAAGGAGAGGGAGCACATAGCCAGCTCCTCAGCCATGGCCAGGGTTGAAGGACTTCATTTCTATATCTCCAATGCACTGGCACAGCAGGGCTGACCTCAGGTGTGGAGTGGGTGGCTCACATGACTATTATGCCTGTCTACCCAAGTGGTATAGGTTTCCCAGGTGTGTATGGCACCGTGTCCAAACACCATTGGCCCAACTCAACTGAGTAGCATGGTAAGATTGTGTCTAATACACTCATGACCTACTGGGGCTAACTGTCAGTGAAATACTAGATGCATTGTCAAGACACTCAAGATTAGATTTTATTTTATGAATCTGAATAAAACATAAATTTAATTTCAATAATTACAGGAATAATGAAACAACATCTTTTTTTTTATTATTTGCCTCATTTGTTGTGTTTTTATACTGAAAATATCATATGGATAATGAATGCACATTCCAGAAAAGTTGTATGTGTTTTTGCCTCAATCTTAAATTGAATTATAAAGCCTTAGGATCCCACCAAATTTATCCTTACCTGGAGAAAAGTGTGTTGTGTTATAGGTGATGAATGCACCACACCATCTGTCCATGAAAACATGGGTATAGTATGTGCTTTTTTCCAATCTTCTGGGACCTCATGACACCTCTATGACTTCTCAGGATGAAAAAAACAAGAAAAAGCTAGTGATTCTGTAATGACCTCAGACAATTACCCAAGTATTCTAAAACTTGGAAGTGGATGCCCTAGGTCTGAGCTAAATGGATAAAACCATAATGTTAAATTGGGGATCCTAAGTTTAGATGCATAGTACTGCATATGTAATCCTAAAAGGGAACAAGAAAAATTAGGCAGGGGAGGAGGGAAATGAGGACTCCATGCCTCAACCTCTGAGCTCAGAAAAGAGCTACAGAGTGAACCTCCTAGGAGAGGACTAGGGGCTCGATCCACTTAATGAGGAATGCAAGGGGACATACGTTTGGGGTAAGGGACTCTTGTATAGGGAATGGGACCACCTTCTCCCCATGGAAACTGTGACTCGGGGTATCAGGAGACACGTGCTAGTGCCCCATGAATACTACATGAGGCTGCTGTTCTTGAAGACTAGCACTCCTTAGTAGGGCTCCTGGGTCTACAGAGCACAGAACACAGGTTGCTACTAACTGTTTACTAGCTTGAATTTCTTGAGGCTCTAAAAAACTCCAGCCAGTGGTGTCAAGCCTGCCACCAAGTGGGAACAACCTGAAGTCTTCACCCCTGTTAGACAACTTCTGGGGGGCCAAAACTAGCAAGTATGGCAAAAAAACAGCTTGGGTTAGCAGGGAACTTATCAGCAAACTAGGTCTCAAAAAGGAAGCTTATAAGAAGTGAAACTTGGATAAATATATAGGGAGGACTATAAGAGCATTGCTTGGGCATGCAGGGATGAAGTCAGGAAGGACAAAGCACAACTGAGTTGCAGCTGGCAAGAGACATGAAGGGTAACAAGAAGGGTTTCTACAAGTATGTCGATAGCAAGAAGAGAATCAGGGAAAGTGTGGGTCCCTTACTGAATGGGGGAGACAACCTTGTGACAGAAGATGCAGACAAGGCTAAAGTGCCCAATGGCTTCTTCGTCTCGTTCTTCACAGGTAAGCTCAGCTACCAGATTACTGCACTGGACAACAGGTTTGGTGTGGAGGTGAGCAGTCAACAGTGGTGAAAGAACAGTTTAGGGACTATTTAGAAAAGCTGAACATGTACAAGTCCATGGTGCCAGATGGGATTCACCCAGGGGCACTGAGGGAGTTGGCCAATGTGATCGCAAAGTCACTGACCATCATCTTTGAAAACTCATGGAGATCAGGAGAGGTCCCAGATGATTTGAAAAGGGCAAACATAGTGCCCATATTTAAGAAAGGGAAGGAAGAAGATCCAGGGAACTACAGACCAGTCAGCCTCACCTCAGTCCCTGAAAATATTATGGAGCAGATCCTCAAGGAATCAATTTCTGAGCACTTATAGTTTCATAGTTTCATAGATGTTCGGGGCTGGAAGGGCCCTTACAGGTCGTCAGGTCCAACCACCCTGCCCTTGGGCAGGAAAGACTGCTGGGACCAGATGACCCCAGCAAGATGGGCATCAAGACACTTTTTGAAGATTGCTAGTGTGGGTGACTGTACAAACTCTGTTGTGGGGAGCCTGTTTCAAACCCTCGGTACTTCACTTGTAAAGAAGTTTTTCCTTATGTCCAATCTGAAGTGATATTCAACCAGTATGTGCCCACTGTTTCTCGCCCTCTCCTTTAGGGCCTTGGTGAACAGATGATCCCCTAGGCCCCAATTTACACCCCTAATATACTTATTGGCTGTCACCAAGTCCCTCTGAGACTTCTCTTCTCCAGAATGAACAGTCCCAAGTCTTTCATCCTCTCCTCATATGACCTGCTCTCTAGGCCTCTATTTATGAGCTTGGCTCTCCTTTGGACTCTCTTGAGCTTCTCCACATCCTTCCTGAATTGTGGCACCCAGAACTGGATGCAGTATGCCAGCTGTGGTCTAACCAAGGCTGAGCTGAGTGGGAGGATGACATTCTTAGCCTTGCTTGAGATGCCTCAGTAGATGTATGCCAGTGTTTGATTCGCTCTGCCAGCTACACCATCACATTCCTGGCTCATGTTCATTTTATGGTCTATCATGACACCCAGGTCTCATTCAGTTGTGGCGCTGGCAAGCATAGCACTGCCAAGTCTGTAAGTGTGTTGCAGATTATTTCACCCCAGATGCAGCACTTTACATTTCTCTGTATTAACCCTCATCAGGTTGAGTTCCACCCACCGTGCAAGCCTGGCCAGGTCAGACTATATTGGCAGCCTGTCCTTTAGTGTGACCAAAATCCTCCATAGTTTGTTGTCATCAACACACTTTTCCAGTTTGCTTTTTATACCCAAATCCAAATAATTGATGAACGTGTTGAAAAGTTCTGGTCCAAGTACTGAACCCTGGGGGACACCACTGGGGATGTCTTCAACCATGTTGACTCAGTTCTGTCAATCAATGCTCTTTGGGTCCTACCTCAGATTCAGTTACCTAGCCACCGGACCATAAAGTAGTTTGGGCCATATTTTCCCAATTTTACCATGAGGACATCATGGGAGTCCTTTTCAAGTCCAAGGTTATGACATCGACCTCATTTCCCCTATCCAGGTGGCAAGCTCCCTGGTCATAGAAGGAAATGAGGTTGTCCTGCCATGACTGACCCATAGTGAAGCCATGTTGGCTATCCATCAGATTACTTTTTTTTGTTAGGTGATCAGTAATGGCTTCTTTGATAATTTTCTCCAGGATTTTAACAGGGATTGACATCAAACTGATTGGCTGGTAATTTCCCGGGTCCTCCTTTCTCAAAGACAGGTACCACATTGGTCTTCTTCCCGTCATGTGGGACTTTTCCCAAGTGCCAAGAGTCTTCAAATAGCTTTGCCATATATTGCACAGTGATGTCAGCCAGTTCTTTTAGCACTCGGGTATAGTTCATCTGATTCTGCTGACATGATATTTAGCCTTTGTAGGTGCTCCCCCTCAAGATCTTCACCAACTATGGGAGGGTGATCACCCCCTCTAGATTAATAGATTCATAGAGTCATAGAAGAAGGGTTGAAAGGGACCTTGTAGATCTTCTAGTCTGACTCCCTGCCCTGGGCAGGAGAGAAAACTGGGCTCAAATGACCCCAGCCAGGTAAACATCAAGCCTTCTTTTTAAGACTCCCAAGGTAGGAGCCATCACCACTTCCCTTGGAAGTTGGTTCCAGGTCCTAGCCACCCTGACTGTGAAGTAGTGCCTCCTGATGTCTAGTCTAAACCAACTCTCTAGCAACTTATGGCCATTATTCCTTGTTACTCTGGGAGAAGTTCGGGAGAACAAGGTCTCTCCTAAACATCACTGGTCCCCCCAGT